ATATCTGTTTTGCTGAAAATATTTTTAACTCCGCTGCCCCAGAGAGTTGCGGGCTGCTCTCTGCGGCGTGCGAGCAGCACAATAATGGATGCATTGTTTTCCAGGTGGGAGAGAGTGAGGGAACATTATGCTTCCTGCTCCATCCCTCCCTCAGGCCTTTCCTTTCTGCACATCAGATTTGTCTCAGTGTACCTATTTGTGCATTAGTGTAAATGTATTCCTAATGAAATGTATTAGGAATTAAACTGTACACAGGTGTAATGTGTTTATTGCTTACACATTCCTTTTTTTTCCGGTGCACATCTGCTCATGTTCTGTAATTTGTGTGTGTGTTGTGGCCGTTGTGAAGGGGTGATTGTACAGGAACAGTGGAGGAGAGAGAGAGAGAGAGACCAGCTAGCAGCATAAAAAGCCACCAGTCCAGCTCAGCGGCTTCAGTCGCAGCAGCCGGCCCCACTCGGCATGCACCTGGCGTCCCCTCACACGCCACCATTATTAATTGCTAATACATATTTATGTGGCACAAATTTGCCATTTGTTTATGCATAAAATTATCAATGGCGCAGGGCGCCTAGCCAGAGAAAATGGTGACCTTTTTAAAGAGAAATAAATGGAACTGTATGTGTGTGTCTGTGTGTGCGTGTTGATCTAATGGCTGATGTTTGTGTGGAGGTGTTGAGTTGGAACAGGGGGAGGAAGGAGGTGGTTTTGTGACTGGACCTTGCACAGTCGAGGTCTGCCAAGAGGAGATCCACTGATCTGGATTTTTACCCAAAGTTTTTTTTAATTATTATTATTCCTCATGAGCAATGAGCTTTCTTTGTTGTCAGCTTCATTCATTTTGTCAGAGTTCTCGATGGCTGCACTGCGTGTATCCRTGCAACGATGAAAAATGTCCCTCTATAAATGTGGAGAAGTTTAAAATTCTCTTTAAGTGTGGGATCTTGAGGCCACTCCATATTAGATTTTGATTCAGAGGACTATGATGTAATTTTGGCTACTCCCTTCACCCGGGGGTTACCATTTGGCAATTTTTTTTTATGCTGGATGCACTTCCTGACGCAACTACAGACCACCAAGCTACCACCATGCCTGTTAAGAGCCTTGCTCAAGGGCCAAGAAGGTGGAAATGAGGGTGAAAACAGCACCTTTCTCACTCATTATTGATGTAACAGTCAGGGGATTCAAACACGACCTGTTATGAATTGGCAAAAATGAACCCAGGGTGCAGGCAGCTTCCAAAAGGAAAAAGTAAAGATTTATTAAACAAAAATTGCTGTCAGGGCAGCTCAAAAGCTAACTTGGTGTAGCTAGTCAAGGCAAGGCAAAAAACATACAGGCTGTGAACAGCACAATGATCAGACAGGGAAGTGAAGACAAGACACAGAATATAAAGGTGAGACTAACGAGCACAAACAGGAAACACCTGGGAGAGAAACATGAGGARCAGGTGAGAGTGGGCGGGGCTGGAGCAAAGGCAAACAAGAAAGAAAACAGATGACAAGACAGAAACTACAATAAAACATTAACACAGACACAAATCATAACACGACCTACACAGTAGGGCTGGGCAATTAATCGGATTTTGATTACGATTTGGTTTTCAGTGATCATAAAAACATAATGATGGAAGTTCGCTGTTTACGCTTGCGCTTTTTTGTGTTGTGAATCCAGTGCCACTGCCAGCACGATGCTGCAGGCTCCTCCCACAGCCAGAGTTTCACTTTGTCTAATTTTTTCAAAAATACTTGAAATCCTGAGGGAAACATTGTTTAACAGCCATTGTTTTTGTTCAATAAATTCATGTTAATGAATTGTTTAGTTAAATAATCTAGATTTCAATTTCAATGAAAACATTGTGATTATAATTTTTGCAATAATTAAGCAGCCCTACTACACAGTAGGGGTGTAAGAAAATATAAATACATTGAAACAATATTTCATTTCCCAATACAGTATCGATTTTTATATAAGGTTTAAAATGTAAATTTTTATGGTAGCGGTTCCTTATAGTTTAGGCTCCAGTTGCTAGTTGGCAGCTGTCAGCTTGCCATTACTCCACTCGTGAGGAGCCTGAGAGTATAATGCTAACTTAGCTTAAAAGTTAGCATTGTGAGTAAACATTAACACTAAGTACCATTGGCTGAATCTGAGTGGATTAGACCAACACCTGCTGCCTTCAAGTTGAGGTAGGGTTGCAAACTGTCCCGTATTGAAAACTTGGATGAAATGAGAAATATAAAACAGATAAAATACATATAAAACAGTTTTTTATTTTTGAAGAAAAAAATAGCAATGTATTGCACTATATTACCTTGCTTACAGAAACGCAATATATCGCGATATATCATATTGTGACCCGTATGTATCGTATCACCAAATTTTTGCCAATACTCAACCTTACATTAATCACACTTCAAACAGTACTAAACATACGGTCTCTCCTAAAAGAAAAATACTTTTACTCTACGCTACAAAATAAAATTGTTTTCATTCAGACAAGAATTTTGGGAACCAACTGAACAAAAGGAATCAAAAAGCTGACATAAGATTCCAACATTTATGAATCATATATGTTTGCATGAAAAAAATAAATAATTCCCACCCCTACTGTAGCCAAATCTAAAACATCCATCTTCTGCCCTTATCTGTGGTTGGGTTGCAGAGCCAGCGGGCTTAAGGAAGAAACCCAGACCTCCCTCTTCTCAGAAAAACTTTCCAGCAAGTTCCTGTAAAGGGAGGCATCCAGTAGGCCTCCCTTTAAAAGAAGCAGCGGCTCCACTTCAACTTCACTCCTTATGACCATAGGTGAGTTTTGGAACATAGCTCGATCAGTAAATCCAGAGCTTTGCCTTTCGACTCAGCTCTTTCTTCACCGCGACTGACCGAAGCAGTGCCCTCATTACTGAGGATAAGGCCGCAATTTGCCGATCCATCTCCTGCTCCATCCTACCATCACTCGTGAACAAGACACCCAGATACTCCTCCAAACAAATCTAAAACAGGCTGATGTATTTCTGGGACATTTTTTGTTGGATCTAAAACGAATCAAAAATAAAACAAACACCGTTTAGAAGGACTTTAATACACCAAACTAGGTTGAAATTAAAATGTCTTGGAATGGCTAAAACTGGACTGTCTTTGACTAGATTGGTGTGACAAAAATAGCTGGAATTAATAGCAAGATTTTTACTTTTAATCACCAATGCCATGTCTACAAATGTAAAGATTAAGCCAGCAGGACAAAACACACATCTTTGGCTGAAAACCCCCTCCAAAGCTCTGTGATTAATGTTAAAATGTAAATTTGTTCTTCTTTGGGATCACATTTTGGCCATTTTGCAGTGGCTTTCTGGAGTCTTGTTGTCATTGTGAGTACGTCAAACAACCATGTGGAGTTTGCAAAAGGTTATTCCTTGTGACACGGCCCGGCTGTTTCTCCGTGCCTTCCAGTCTTCACGCTAAGCTAAACCAACGGCTGCAGGCTGTTGCTTCACTTTCCTCACACGGCACCGAGTCTGGGATGACTATTCTTCTTGTCCAACTCGAGGAAGTTAAAGAAAGTCAATGAATACATTTCCAGAAACGTCAAACTGTTCACGACGAGCTGCCAATAAACACAAACCATTCAGAAGAGCAAATGTTGTAGCTCATTTTGTTTTCTGCAGCAATTAACAATGTAAACAATTTCAACAGAACTAATATTGAACAAACCATTTTTCCTTTATTGAAAACATGTTTTTAAGGCAGCAAGCCTTATGGTTTATGTTGAGTGGGGATGGACATAAAATCCATATGAGCAGAGGCCTCCTAAGTGGGCCCATTGCTCTCCCCAAAAAGACACTGGTCTTCATTCGAACCTTCTTGTCCCTTGGATGAAGGCCACAAGGTTAGAAACACTCAGTGTTCTGAGCTTCTCTGGATCCATAAAGGAGTCCCCAAGAATTATTTTCCTTTGATGACTCAGAGCCAAGCAGTGGTCTAAGTAGTGCAAAGAGGTCTGTAGTTCAATGCCACAGCATCACACAGACCATTGTCACGAAGTCCCATTACCATTTTGTGGCGGTTGAGCAGATTGTGCCCAGTTAGAACTCCAACCAGTGTATGTAAGCAAGGCTTAAGAATAATTGAATTTTTTATGGGAATAAACTTTCCAGACAACAGATTTATTCTGTTCTACACATATTAAACCAATAAATTATAAAAGAAATACATTTTTTTAATGGTTTTGGTTGACAAAATTGCAGAGACATTGATCGATATTGGTTTTCTGTTCTTTGTTCATTTTCTTTTTTTGTCACCTTATCAGGTCAACTGTTGGGCATTATTTGGACACAAAATTATGTGAAAATATACATTTTTATTTTATATTACACGTGTGCACAAACTGCATGCCAAATCCAGGAATTCACTGGCAATTTTCCAAATTTTATATTATTATATATTACCAAATATTACCAATATATTCCAATGATATAATATAATAATATAATAATACCAATATTACAAAAAATACGGGTATATAGTGCTTTAGAACAACAATTCCTAAACATTTTAGCTTCTGGCTCACAAAATAACGCCAAACGTGCAAAACCCAACAATCATTAAACGTTTCATTCATTTATCATTACATAAACCATACTGTATTCTAACAACTGTGACAAGAATATGTGGTTGCACTCATCTTCAAATTAAATTTTATTTCTGGAAATCACCTCAAGACTTGACATTTCCTGACCCCAGGATTAAGGGAGCACTGCTCTAGATGTACAGAAACTAAATTAACTAAAGGAAATTAAGAACCCTTGGGAACAGATTAAGACATTTTGGAAACCCCCTCGCGAACGCAGTTCAGTTTGTCCCTCCTTACTTTCTGAAACTGTTGCTCACATCTCACCCCTTTTTTTAGTGACTTTTTCATGCTTTATTTGTGTGTTTTTGTGTGATTGTTTTAGTGTGTGTGTAATGCAGCTAAATGCGTCTGTGCTTCTCTTCACCAGGCTTGGCCTTCCCTCTGATGGGTAATCCCTCCGCAGCAGAGCCACCTCCACCGGGACGCTTGTAGGTCAGCTTCTATTTTCATACCACACATTTTTACACACAAGTTGCTGCATTTACATGAAAAAGGGACAACTTATAAAGTAAGGCAGATAACTATAGATTGAGCTGGGTATCCTGTGTGCTTTGTAGCATTTACTGGGTCAAAGATTGGTTAACGTTACGGTCATGTTCAGCTGGACTGAGTGATAAAAAACATGTTTATTACTGTTTGAAGAGACCAGTATCGTAGCTTTTGTCCCTTTTTTTTAAATCAGATTTTCATTAAAATGCAAATATCTTCCAATCTTTAAACTCTTCAAAGTCTGTATCAATGATAAAACCATAACGAGTGATACGAGTTAAAGATTTGTTTGTTTTAGAGAGAAACAAAAAGCCATTTATTGTCAAATTTAAAGTTGGATTTCTTAGTAATGCAGAGATTAACAGCTGCAAAAGAACGAGGAGGAACAGGAAGTTTCTGGCTGAAACTCCCGTCTCCATAAATACCATGCAAAATCTAATCAGCCTATAAAAAATAAAAATGAACCAGGAATTTCTATTCTCGAGAAACAAGAGTAAAAAACTGAGACTCGACAGAGGAAATGAGGCTAACTACCTAAAATATAATTAAAGTTTACAGAAACTGCAAACAATTTCACAGTGATGTCACTGAAAGTAATATCCTTATTTATTTTTTAGAGCCCCCAAAAAACAAAGTCAGAATGCAAAACAATGTAGTTTAAAAATCTTTAACATTAAACATTTAGACTAAACAATGAAAATACAAAAGATGACCCGATGAATAAGCGTTGATATATCCCCAAATTGGCCATTATTTTGCWGATAAATGAACAAGTAATTTACTGTGTGAATGATGAATATAATATTAACCATTCATCAGTATTTCACAACTTTTCTCTAATATCTTTGAAATTATGTAGCTTAGATCAACATAAGTGATAAAACATATTTTAAATGATCAGAAATGTTAGATGTTAGATGAAAAATAAATACTGCTAAAACGTGACGAGTAATATACTTTATGGTCTGTTCCWAATGTGTACTTCTGGTTCTCAGCGACAACTAGCCTGCGTGTTTCATGTGTTTCCCTGCATCAACTTAAAGATAATTTAATCACTGAATCTGGTGTGGAGCAAAGAAACAGATAAGACATGCAGGATAGTGGTCTTTTCTAATATTTCAAACGGTTTTCTTTAGATTTTCTACCATATGCCAATTAAATTTTCTCAAATTCTTCAATGTATAGCTAACTGAAATATGTACTGTTACATTTAATATTGTGCAGGATACCCRGCTTATTTGTCTGCAATTAGGATGTTATTGTTTGCCAAAAGAAATAAAAACACCTAGAGTTTTAGCTTATGAAATGCAATTTAGTTTAGGTTTATGCTTTAAAACAATACCTGAGTGTAATTATGGGTCAGGGCCGGAAAGAGAAAAGGGACAGAAAGACAGAAGTCAGGCAGAGAAACAGACAAAGTGARTGAGTTGGGTCAGTTTAGTTTGGACATATGGCCCCCGCCAGCCCAGAGACCCGGTACTGAGGGACGATGAGGACAGAATAGAAGAGGAAAAACCAACATGCCATCTGGAACGGAGACAAAGAGCCAGCAATAGCTTCAATAAATGGTGTGTGTGTGTCCATCAAAGACTGAGGGCACTGATGGCGTCAATTCAGTTGAGGAGTGGCGACCTCGGTCCTGTTGAGACGGACGTAAGCACACAAATAGTTCTGCACACACAGGCTATATGTTTTATAAGTATGTGAGCACACAAAGCCAGATAACTGTATTTCACTACTGCCAGAGCATCCATCCGTAAAGCCCTGTCCTCGTATCATTTTGTGTGTGTGCACGTGCTCCCATCCTCTTTTCTGTCAGATACCACTGAAGTGGCATGCTTCACAGGGCATGATATTGTCTGACATATGGGTTTTGCTTATTTGCTCTGTCCAGGAAACACGGCCAAGCAGGAAGCCTCAGAATGGAGCTCTTGGTTCTGGTCCAGTTTCCATTAAGTCCAGTTGTCTTTAATGTTAGCCGACAGAAACTGGGGTACCAGTGAGACTCCACAAACAAGGCCAACGGCCCGAGCGCTGGGTCACTTTTGTTGTGRGTTAGTTTTGTCAACATCTGGGTCAGTGGTGAAAGTTGGGAGAGCAAGTTGTTTCTGGACGTTAAATGTGACAGATTTTTTTTTTTTACATTAAGATATTATCTTGAAATTTACCTTTCTTAGTCTGGTATGAGATTTGAGAGTTAATTTACAGTTCAAAGTWCTAAATATTTCAGTTGTAGAGTTTTACATAAAAAGTTTTAATCTGTTTCCGGCCAAGTCTTAAAATAATGCAGTGCCTAAACAGTCTTATTGTAGTAACTTGCCTTTTATGGCTYATAGYGAGACACTTCTGCCTTTTATGTTGAGTTCCTGTTAGAGACTAAGCATGGTGGGGGAAGGGTGATGAATTGTTTTGGAGCTACAGGACCATGGCACCTTGCAGTCATTGAGTAGATGAAGGCTCAGTGTGCWCCCTACCCCTCTGTGAAGTGTGGATTCAGTCAAAAGGCACATAAGTGTTTGAGTGCGCAGGTTACAAGCGTGCAGGAACATTGAGAATTGGGACAGTACGGATAACGTCATCAACTTGCGCCTCTGYGTCGTAACTGTGACATCCAACCAGTCACTAATTTGGCAGTTGCATTGCTAAAAATACAAAAAGCAATTGTTTTTAGGATTAGCAGAGTATGAGAACTAACTTCTATAAGTTCTTCTAATTTTGGTTTTATTGGTGGTTGGCAGACTAATTTAAAGGGGCAATATTATGTGTTTCTCAGGCATATATTTAAATACTATACCATAATAAAATATCTATGTCACCTTTAGTTGTTATTAAAAAGCTGTTTTTATGTTTAAATAGAAAATAAACTTATCTTCTCATCACTTCCTCTTCTAAACGCATTGAAATTGGCCTCTGTCTCTTTAAGAACCACCTTCCGCTTTTGTCTCGCCCATTTCAGTGCGGGGGGGGTGGGGGTCATGCGCATACGCTATGATGCAGTTCACTTGGCATCTGAAAATACATTTCCTCAAAGGTATTTTGAATCTGAAAAGAGCTTCACTGAGTGAGAAGTAGTGTTAAGAGCAGCAGACTGTTAAGTTTCACTTTCACTTTGCTCTGTTACTGCCGAGAGCCTGCAGGAGTCATGGGCGGGGGGTGGGGAGATGTGCTCCGTAATGTCAATGTCAATGTCAAATTTATTTGGATAGCACATTAAAACAACAAAAGCTGAACAAAGTGCTTCACAGTTCAGTCAAGACATAAAAAAACAAATAACAACAAAAAACAAATAATAGATGCAAATACAGAAACACAATATACACTGCTCAAAAAATAAAGGGAACACTACTGCTCAAAAAAACAAAGGGAACACTTAAACAACGCACGCTAAGTCCAAGTAAATCAAACTTTTGTGAAGCACATTAAACTGTACAGAACAAAGTACTCAATGCGAATATTTCATTGATTAAGATCGGGAGTTAGCGTGCATTGTTTAAGTGATCCCTTTTATTTTTTTGAGCAGTAGTGTTCCCTTTATTTTTTTGAGCAGTGTATAAATGATGATATGTGATGAGGAAGTTCGGCTTAAAGACACGTCCCAGGGGCGTTTCTGGTCCCAAAAGGCATTTCTGGTCCCCACCTGTCGTTTTGCTCCTCAGCATGGCTTCCCAAAAACGCTGCAGGATTTCTCAAACATGCATGAATGAGTCAGAGCAAGGCTTTGGGCATGTTTTTTTATGAGAGTATAACATTATAACATGATATAAAACTCAAAAAAGTTTATTTTACATGATATTGCCCCTTTAGGAGCATTACTGCCACCATTAAACTGGAAGGTGCTCAGTGGACATCGCCAGATTTTTGCCTTTTAATTTAAAACGTCACACACAGCCATGAATTGTGAGTAATACACTTCACTGAAGTCTGTAAAAATGCAGAGTTCGCGTAAGGGGAGAAATAGTACCCAAAATGGGCGGGGCGACGGGCGGATGTGGAGAATGTGGGACACACTACGCACTCAAACCCTTCAACATGAAAGTGCATTTGAAGTGCACAAGGGCGGAACGAGGGTGTGAGTGTGGGTGTTGGGACAGGGCCAGTGAACTACGGTACTCTGCAGACCAAAGGGTTCACATTGGACTCTAGGTTTAAGGTTGAGGTGATTACAGCATACAACTGCACAATCATAKTGGATGCTACATTGTTGTGGTGCAACTTTCATCATCTATAGCATTCCCCCAGAGCAGTCTTGTTGCAACTCCTTTATGATTATTATTGATTGATATTGATGCGATACATTTGCCAATCACACAAATGAATAAAACACTGTTTCGCAGCTCTAACAAGCAAGATAAAAACAACAAATGCTTGAAAACACCACAAATACGCCACAATWACATGACAGTGCAGACAGAACGTAAGCAAAGCACTGGGATTGTGCAACATACTGCAATGTTTATTTCTTGCAGCTATGTTGTTTCAATAAAATGTAGAAGTGGAAGGTAAWTACGCAMAAGTGAGGTAGTACGTGTATTATTATAATTTTTCTTCGATATATGCAGTATGTAACTGTGACTTGAACTCCATCTTGGACCTGTTAAACAAGATGATGTAAGTTGTTGAACCCAACCTTGTAGTGTGCGTAAGAGACACAGAGTGAGTGGGTTGGTGTGTTTAATTACAGGCATGTGAGCGCTGAAGAGTTGATGGCCTAAACAGATAAAAGGTCTGAYGGAGGATGGATTCTCTTTTATTTTAGTTTTGGAGACAAACGACTGTCTTAAATATACACGTTCCTGAAAAAATACATGACGTCCCGACTCTGCCATGCAACATGCATCACATCAGTTCTTGAGTGCTTGGAAACAAAGGGTGAGTTTAACCAGAGGTTTCACTATAAGTTTAGGAGTGAGGCCGACCCTGTGAGCTCCGATGCCATGCA